CCGATCCTATCTAACCGTAAGTTGTTGGATCAGGCCCACCTGGAATTGGACCTTTGTTTGACAGATGATGCTGTGTGCTCCTTGCGTCGGACACGTCAGAAGTGGTACAGTAGAGCAAACAAACTGGATTCTATGTTAGCACACAGAATGCGTTCTTTTACGCACCACCCTAAGCCAATCTCTCTACACACTTGCCATAATGTTCTAACTAGTAATCCTGTAACGGTGTTGGAGGAATTCCGGCATCGCCTTGCTAAACTTTACATGGACCCCACGCGAGCTGATCCTCAGGCTATTTCTGATTTTTTTTTCTTTTCTTTTTGTCCCACCTGTCTTGCCTATTTTGACTCAGGCCCACAAAGACTTGATGGACAGTGATATTCAAACATGTCTTGCATTGTATTGCTGACTTGAAGGCGAGCAAACGTCCATGCCCAGATGGATACACGGCTTTGTATTACAAGAAATTAGCTGATGTGCTTGCTCCTCACCTCGTCGCTATGTTTAATGTGGTGAAGGACAGTTCGGCTTTTTCCCCCAACTCGCTGACCGCTAATGTGGTTATGATCCCGAAACCTGATCGAGACCATTCTTCTTGGGCAAATTATAGGCCAATTTCTCTTATTAACATTGACATGAAAATCCTGACAAAAATTCTAGCCACTCGCTTGAATTCCTTCCTTTCTCATCTAATTAAGAAAGATCAGGTAGGTTTTGTCCCCCATAAACAAGCGGGGGACGCCATCAGACGAATTCTACAATTGCAACATCTGGCTCATACTCGCAAAATTGATATGCTGCTCTTATCCTTGATCATCAATAAGGCTTTTGGCACTTTATCCTGGCCTTACCTCATGTCGGTCCTTCACCATTTTGGTTTCGGTTCGTCGTTCACATATTATGGTTTTGAGTCTTCAATGTTTCCAATTGGTAGGGGTACTAGACAGGGTTGCCTGCTTTCCCCCATACTATTCATTTTGGCTTTGGAACCCCTGGCAGAAGCTATTTATATGCATCCTGATATTAAGGGACTGGATGTTGCTGGCTCTCAGCATACGTTATCCCTGTTTGCTGACTATATATTGTCAGTTACAAATCCGAGGATCACTCTGCCAAACCTACTAGCGGTTTTGGATTCCTTCGCTGCTCTATCGGGCCTTCATGTCAACCCTGCCAAATCTAAGGCCATGTCGGTTACCCTTTCACCGTTGCTGTTGGCGACTCTGAAACATTTGTTCCCTTTTCAATGGCTCTTGACCTTACCGTATTTGGGGATTAAGCTCACCCCATCTTATGAGGGACTTTACCGGGCTAACTTTCCCTTTGTTTTTAAGGATTTGACAGATGTTGTCCTCCTGGACTCATTTCCCCAACTTGTTTTCGGGGCTGTCAACAAGTAGGCACCATGGCCCATATTTGGTGGACTTGCCCTAAGGTTTGCAGACTATGGATCAGGGTTTATGCCCTTCTTCGTATTATGTTTTATACAGACATTAAACGCTACCCATACGAGGTGCTATTATTTAAACCATTAGTGGGCCTACTTCATCCTGAGTGGCAGCTGGCATCGCATCTATTCATGGCCACCAAACTAAGAATCGTGAAGGCCTGGAAGACCCCCCCTCCCCAGCTTTGAAGCAGTCAAAAATCGGATGAATTTTATAATGTTTAATGATAAACTGACAGCTATGCTGTTAGACACTCACACAAACTTTCTACAGATCTGGCGTCCCTAGCTTGATATAGCCCAACCGCCCAGATTTGACCAGACCCTTTTGTCAATATGTTTGTGTTCCCCCCCTCCCCCCATTGCGACCCCCTTATTTGTCTTTTCTTTCTTCGTTCCTCCCTTTCTCTTCTCTGTTCTGTTTTGTTTTTATGATATTTGTGCTGATTGTAACATTTTTTTGTTTTTATATAAGAACTGCACCAGCAATATTATATCTACCTGTTAGACTTCCATGGGAGTCTTGTGCATGGTGTGCCAATGTGCGTCTAGTGAAGCTCTGTGTTTCACTTCTTCTCTTGCCTTTTTGTATGCAGATTTGGTGATGACCTTTGATCTTAGTTTACTAATTATTTGGTCTCTAAAGTGTCTGCCATTTTTGCAAACTATTATGCTTTAATTTATCTTCTTATATACTGCGCTTGTGTACTCAGTTTATTTGTCTATATTTCAGTGCACTTATTGTACTATTCATAAGAAAATGTGTATTATTTTTTTTTATCTTTGTTGGTCAGTGCTCTTGTTAATGACCGTTTCTCTGCTGCTGTTTATTCTATAATAAAATCCATTGTAAAAGGATTAAAAGCTGTTTACTACATATGGCGGATACAGATTGCCATGACTTAAATATAAATGATGCAGCTTATAAGTGGCTGTTTTGATTTTTATAAACAAGAATCAAATACCACTGTTTTTATATGTATTGTGGTTAGATATAGTATATGCTTAGACTTAGCCCCTGTTCACACCAGTGCAACTTGTCATGTGATTTGACAGTTCCAAACAGCATGACAAAATTAGTTGTGTCTATGGAACCATTCAAATCGGTGCGACTCTGACATGCACCAATTTGAAAAAGGTTCCTGCACTATTTTTGACTAATTCATGCGTGACTTCCATTGACATCTGTGCATGAAATCGCAGAAATGTTGGCAAGCCGCAGGTGAAATTGTACTGTCCTGTGGCTTTGAAATCATGCTGAAGTAGCACTGTTTCAAAGCCGCATTCAGTGTGAATGGGGGCTTATAGATATTAATTGCAGACATATTTAGATGTTTAGACTTTAGATATTAATGAATAAAAGTAATGTGTTGTCATACATGTGCGGATGGTATTAGTATAAAGGCAATAATTAGGAAAAAAAATAACAAACCTATCTTACTCACCTGTTCTGTGCAGATATTTTGCAGAGAGCAGTCCCGATCCTCCTCTTCTCAAGTCCTTCAGCGGCACTCCTGGACCCTCCCTCCTGCTGAGTGCCCCCAGAGCAAAAAGCTTGCAATACGGGCAACCAGGCAGGCGCGCTCCCTTGCCGCTGCGCTGCATGTCCATTCACACACAGAGCCAGCATGGCTCACTGGCTCTAGTTGAACCATGTAAAATATAAGAAAAACCCAACAACTGGCCAATAAAGCAATGGCTCTTACTGAGTTTTCCCACTGATTACTTTTATCCAGTGATTTGTTTCCTCTGAGCTGTTGCAATCCAGGTTACCCTAATGCCAATAGAGAAAAATCGGGTTAAATATCTCCAATGGCTCCCGCTGCTGTCTCACCAATGAGAGCCGAGGGTCTTGTGCACATCGCTGGATCGTGATGGATCTCAGGAAAGTATTGGGGAGGGGGGGGGGGGGGGCTGGGGGACTGCTGCACACAGGTGTTTTACACCTTTAGCACCACTTTAAATATATTCTTTTAGAGCAGCAAAAAATGACAGGTTTTTAACCCCTAAGCGCTCTATCTAAAACTCAAAAAAAGGTTTTGCCAGACAATCTTGCTATGTTAAAAATGCATACATGTTTTCTATAAACAAAACAAACCGTATATAGTGAGCGTTAAGAAAAACTGGGAGCAGCTAGCACATATGGTGAACCCACTCCATATCACAATAAACATATCAAAACAATAGTGCTGCGCTATATAAAAAATACAAAGGAAATGAGTGCTCAGTGGAATAAATGACTGCTCACACAACCCGTATGAATTGCAGTCCTTGGTAAGGTGAAGTGACATCCAAATGTGGGGAAAAAAAACATCTGTGAGATCCTTCATCACTATGTACTCACCTGAACTAAGATCAAATAGGCTTGCAACAAATGATACTCCAAGGCAAACATATCTCCTACTCTCAGGGCTGGTTCAGGGCCATCAGTAGTGTGTCCTGAAAAAAGTGTCTCTGTGTTCACTTTTCTGGGTGGGGCTATTAAAGTGTGACTCTAGGGTGTCTTGGAGTATCACTTGTTGCAAGTCACTGAGCACTCATTTCCTTTATGTGCACTGAATTTGGAGGTCTTTGTGCGTCACATCATTGCATCAAGGACTTTCATTTATGTGGATCGTTTGTTTAGTCATTATTAACAACAGAACGTATTGCATTATTTTGATATTTGTTTTCACTTTTTTTTTTTTTTTGATATGTAGTGAATTTTGGTAACATTTGTGGGCTACTGTATCATATTACAGTACATTTCACTTTCATTCACCATTTGTTCTAGTTTAAGGTGGATACATTTGTATTTTTGTATAGAGCAGCACTTTTGTTTTTATGTTTTCTATAAATCTTTAATTTATAGCCATATTCTTTCAAAGAAAAATCAGTCTAAAAATTACATATATAGGCACATATACTCTTAAAGCCCTCATGAACCCCCTGTGTTTATTATTTTATGCAGTCAGTCTGCATATACAGTAGTAAATACCTTGTTCTTTTAAGAATTTTTTAGCTCTGTTATTTCTAAGTGCATCAGCAGCAGCAGCAGCAGCAAGGGTTTAAATACTTGGTGACCACACTTAAGATACTTGCACCAGGGAGAGAGGACACAGAGCTGGATCGTAGGACAGGTGAGTGGCTATTTTTTAAAAGTTTATCTTTTTTAGATGAGACTGGAGCTCGCTTTAATACTGTATATGCAGTATGAATGCATTACAGTAATAAAGGGTTCAATTGGGCATAACAATTGTGTAGACTCCAACTTTTCTAATTTCTTTACAATAGATTGAGTGCTATATGTAAGTGATGAAAAGTAAGAAACTGAAACTTTGGGTACTAAATTCTGTGGTGATACTGTGGAAGATGTGGTTGTATTTAGCATGCTACATTTTCAATTTATGGATTAACCTATATGCACAGTTCATTTATGAACTTGGGCATTGACATATAAAAACCTGGCTTATTCAAAATATTCCTAAATATTCAATTTGAAGGTAATTCAATAAAAAAAAGCTTATGATACAGTATCTAAAAGATGTCTTTTCAAACCACTTGGATAAATGTTTTATGTCCATTTAACATAATAAAACCTACCTTGAGAGGAATCTTCTTGTGTAAAAACTTGATTGTCGGCGCCAACAATTTGTCGAAGAAGATGTGGTTGAGACTGATTCTTTCCCTGGTCACAACCCGGCTGGTGTCTTGTCATCAAGCAAAGTTCTGGAACCATGTAAAATATAAGAAAAACCCAACCATTGGCCACCAAAGCAATGGCTCGCACTGGGTCGTCCCACTGATTACTTTTATCCAGGGATTTGTTTCCTCTGAGCAACATAACAATCCAGGTTACCCAAATGCCAATAGAGAAAAATATGGTTACATAAATATGTACACAATGTCTCTTCCAGTATTTGCAGGATCCACAGATGCTAATCATTGAGACTAGAAAAGTAATGGCCATAAGCAACAAAACATATATCAGTATGAGCACAAAATCAAGGTCACGTGCATTTTTATCTGCTTTGCTAAAATCACATTCTGACATATTCCTTGCCAGGTAAAGTGCAACATACAAAATGGCTATTATTATTTGCACAAGGGATAGGGCAGTGATTGTAACTAGCATCAGCCACCATGACATACCCAGTCCACCTCTAACTATTCTTACCAGCTTGATGGCATGAATCAAGAGGCATGAAAAGCAGACAGCAAACAGGACTCCAAAAAGAAAAAAACGTGTTAGACAGGTCTCTCGATTCAATTTAATGATGAAGGCAAATGTAAGGCCGAAGATTCCAAGTGTGCCCAAAAGGAAGATGAACTGAATGGGTACAATTGCCCTTTTGGCATTAACACAAATGCGAGGCACCATAATCAGGAGTGCCAACAATAGAGCACTTGTAAACACAACGCCAGCAGCAGCCAAAGTTTCCAAAACTATGCCCCATGCATCTTCTGCACTACATAAAAATCTGTAGTCATCATCATTACAGGACATTTTGGGTGATGCTTGCAACAAGACCTGCCAAAAAATAGATGTAGAAATATATTAATATTTGAGTGTATAATTAGAATGACTTGTTATTTAAAATTACTACTATGACAAATATTTTAATATAAAGTTACTGCCAGACATGTGATAGCACATAGGTGAAAATGTATTAGTATGCACACTAATCACTAGGCACAGGTATTGGAGTCAAACATTATACTTAAGCTGGATTCTGACTTGGAAAGATTGCCAAGTGGTATTCAGCTAGTTTTGGATTTGCCTGAGACCTGACCTGCTTGTCTTCCCATATTCAACTTGGCTTGCCTCTGACCTGTCTCTGGATTCATGTCGACCTGTTGTGGTCTTGGCCTGTATTTTGGACTCTGCATCCTGTCTTCTGATTAAGTACCTTGCTGCCAGGTTGTTAACTGACCTGGGCCTTCTGACACTGCCCATACCTTCTGACTCAGTTACATCACTGCCCAGCTGTTGATGACCTTATGCTTGTGTTCTGGCTTTGTTCCTGTCTACTGATCAGCAACTACTGTTTGTGCCTCACATCCACAGCTGTGCCACCTGCAGTATCTGCCCTCATGCCTCTCAGTGTCCTCACATATTGTCACTACCAGGGATATTAGACAAGAGGTGCAAGAGAAGTCCCCTCTTCAGCTTGATCTCCAACGAGTATGTGATACTAACGCAGCCACTACATCTAAGGACTGTTTTTCTGCAATATATTACATGTTCACAGTTTAGATATGCTTTAAAGCCATGTTTCTCATCAAATGGGTCGCGACACAGGGGTGTACTGGGCCGGGGGGCACGTGTCCCCTAGGCCTCTTTAATGCCCCCAAAAAAGTCTGGTGCCCCGACAACATAGCTTAATAAAAACTGCAGGCACACTAATATAAATGTTAAGATGGACTGCAACTATGGTTGGCCTTAATATTTGTATTATTGCGGCCAGCCAGTCCCATTAAGGTGGTGCGCATGGTGCACTTACAAAGCTGTCCCACGGCCCTCACGCTCATTCTTCCTTCCTCTATGGCAGCGGTGGGAGGAAGTGATATATAACTACACTGCCTTCCAGCCTCCAGATGGCTAGCAGTGCAGGAGGGAAGAAAAGCACCACTGGACACCAGGGAATGACTCGGCTAGGTACTTTTCCTGGGTTGTGGCAGGGTGATGGAGAGTGCATTTTGAATTTAGTGAAAGAAAACAGGAAAGGGATGGTGATGGGGGGGTCTGAAAGTGTGCATAAAAGGGGAGGGCATGAAAAAGGGGATCAAAGGAGGGTGTGAAAGGTGGATAAGGAAAGAGCATAAAAGGGGAAAGGGAAAGGAAAAGGAGGCATGAAAGAGTGGGCTAAAACAGGGCGTGGAAGGGAGGGTTGAAGGAGTGTATAAAATGGGGGGGGGGGGACTGAAAATCCTCACACAGATATTGCACAAACTATATTGTTTATTTGAAAAGCCACTGAAGACATTAATACTCAGTGTACATTTGAGAAAATGAGAGGTATAGGAGGTACAGCGCTGAGCAAATCCTTTGGCGCTATATAAATACTGTATAATAATAATAAATAATATTGCTCAGTTTAATGGGCTATTGGAGTCACGTAGAGGGGACACTGCCTAAAGTTAGGGGGTATTAGTGGATTTATGTTTTATGTATGCGTAAAAATAATTTATTTTAAAAGGCTAAAAAAGTTTTTTAATTTGTAAAATTATGTACATTGTAGAATGCTGCACAAGTTTTATTGAATAAATTATGTTTTCGAAATAATTGTTGGGTCACGACTTACTAACCAAGGACAAATGTGGGTCCTGAGGCTCCACAGGTTGAGAACCACAGCTTTAAAGTGTAATTATTGATAAGGTGTTTTTTGAGGGGTTTTTTTGGGCCCAGTGGTATATAGAGCCTAAATACCCAGGCCAATTAGCAGCGTCAGTATGTATTGTATCACTTAACTAGACTATACATCCACTCTGTCTAATTGCCTTCCTAAATAAGTTTTTGTTTTTAATGGCATAGGATTTTATTTGATATATTGTTTTAATAGAAGTCAAGCACAAAACAGCATCATACTGTCATCTATAGGTCTCTGCAATAATATTTTTTATCAAAATTTAAATGAATATATGGACTTTAATTTAGCACCCGGAATTATACCACAATATAATAAAATACAATTGGAAATATTAATTAATATACAGCCTTAAAAAGACCACATTTATTTATTTGGTTTATTTATTACAGGCGTTTTTTTATATAGCACTGTCAATTTACGCAGCACTTTACACATATATATTATACATTCACATCAGTCCCTGCCCTCAAGGAGCTTACAGTCTAAGGTCCCTAGCTCACATTCATAAATACATATATTCGGGCTAAATTAGACAGCATCTAATTAACCTACCAGCATTTCTTTGGAGTATGGGAAGAAACTGGAGTACCAGGAGGAAACCCACGCAGGCACAGGGAGAACAAGCAAACTTCAGGCAAGTAGTACCATGGCTGGGATTCGAATCCACGACCCTAGTGCTGCTAGGCGGAAGTGTTACGCACTTTAGCCACTGTTTTTTTTATTATGTCTAAACATAATAAAAACACCACAGTAATGAGCATATGTTAGAAACCACCACATATATAGTACATAACATCTTCAACATATAATGTGCAAGAGACCACAACACGTTTCAACTCAAAAGGTTGTATAACTTCTTCAGGCAGTTACTACAGTTGTGAGATCTGTAACATAAATACATATAAATAACAAAAATCGAAAAGGAATAATTAAGAAAACATATAAATACAGTATGTCAATAACACACAAGGTTTGTTAGTATAGCATAATGTATGATGGGATAGGTGCATTCACCTAGAGAGACCGCAGGATGTGTGTCTGGTAGAGCACAAAGGATGCAATAAGACCTCCACACAAAGAACCAAGCCAGCCACCTAATAATGCAATTCAAATAATTCCGTAAAACCTAAACACATGACCTGAACAATCAAAGTTATAAATAAATTATATAAATAAAATTACTCACATAATTATGTTGATATGAGTGACATACAGAGTAGCCCAGGATGGTAAAGCTCAGGACAAACAAATCAAGGAAGTATAAAGTCCTCCCATTGTAGACAGTATAGTGTGGTTTATTTAAACTGTGCCAAATAAGTAAATGTAATAAGGCCTTAGAATAGCCAAAGATCCTGAAAATAGTAAAGGGATAAAGTAAATATAATATCCCAATTGGGAAACTTTCAAAATCCCTCCTAAAAAATATAATCCGCACTAGGCAAGTACCTACTAGAAAGCAATGATCTATCAGCCACATGAGAAACCACACTGTCATGGGGACCCGCACTAAGTGTTCCATCCAGCGCTGTACTAGACAATCCCCAGACCAGCATTGCTAAATATAGCCAGAAATTCTAACCAGCTGACATCTGAGAGCCAATCCAAGAGCTAGAAAGTAGTGCCAATTTGACAAAAGCTGTATCTCAGCTGAGGTTGTGAGGAGAGGAAGGACAAGTCCCTCATCTTCAGCTGTCATCAGTCCCAATCGCGCACCCCCCTGCCCAAACTTGGCATCAAATCTGGTGCATCAGTGATGTCACTTCTGGCACTCGAGAGAGCGTAAGGTACGGTCATCTTGGACTGGAGCAGAGTGCCGACACGTATGAGCTCCTCTCGAGAACCATTTTTTAATGTGGTATATCCACATCTTGCTGAAAAAGAAGATGCGGAAAATGGCAGAGATATGGGAAAAGAGTTCCCCTACTTCCCCACGAAAATAGAAATCGAGGGGTATAAGGGCCACGTGTTTTGAGTGCCGACCACAAGCTCCCAAGATCGTCTCTTAAAGGGGAAAGCACCCAACGGATTACAAATACTCAATAGCACAATAAGAAAACAAAAAGTTATAATGCAATGCAAATAAAGTCATCTGTGATTTTTATATATATATATATATATATACAATATAGAAAAAAACCTCTAAAATGGGATTAAAGCTCAATTTGTCATTTAAACCAGGACAAGTGTCATTCAAAATATAAATCCAGTGTGTTTCTTTTTGTAGTATTTTTTTGTTCCAGTTACCTCCCCTGGAGTCAGGGTAAATATGTTCAAATGTCCAAAATTGGAGCTTGGGATATGGTGTTTTGGACAGTGACAACATGTCGGAGAGTAAATATTTCCCATATTAGCTGCAAATGTATCCTCCAAAACTCTTTTGTTCAATTTACAAATATAGAAAGCCCCACCGGAGCAAATCATAATGTAAATGTTCCCTCTTGCATCTGACAATTTACGAAGTATCGAGTGGTGAATTTATATCCATTAGGTAAATACAGAGTTTTTTGAGAGCAGATTTACTTACAGTAATTACAATCCTCAGAGGGAAAGGTGCCTTTCATTTCATAAAGGTTAGAGCGCTCCTTGAAATTACTTCAATAATCTTTATTAAAAAATTCCTTGAATCTAAATACACTAGAAACTAATTTATCCTTTTAAAGATGGAGCCCATCTTTATGTTATGAGAAGTGGTGGAGGAATTATCTTTGCTATTTTGGGATCAGATGCCAATAAGTGCCAATATTTATTAACATATTTCTTCACTATCTTATCTGGTTGTTAAAAGTAGCTATTGCCCTTAGAGGTTTTTCATCAGTAGGTTTAGATTTATGTCCAAACAATAATTCAGTGCAAGATTGACTTTAAACTTTTATTATAAACCTTACACAAACAGATTTTAGAGTAACCTCTCTCAAACAGGCGAACTTTGAACTCATGTGTCCTTTGTTTAAATTTTTCATTGCAGTTAGCCTAAGATATTGAAAGTAGGGAATAGATTTAATTAATTGTCTGGGATGAAAGCTATCAGCTCTCAAACCGGCATTGCCTGCCATTGGTTTCCTAAACAGGTTACTGACCAGGTAGTAAAGAATAAATTATATTGGTTGGAATAGATACATTTCAAACAGTCCTGCAG